GAATTTCAGTGGGGAAAAATAGGAAAATAAGACAGAGCTCACAACAATATCCTATAATTTATGTTTCTTTTATTTTTATGCTCTCTGTTTACTATGTTTATGTGGAGGGTTTTACAGCTTTATAAGCTCCTGAAAAAGTGAAGGTAGAGAAATTGCATTTATTTAAATTCTGGTGTTTTTAACAGCTGTAACTCTCCATTTGAAATTCAAAGGACATCCCTGCTGTGTTCAAGGTCGCTTTGAGGGTTGGACTGGCACAACAACAGTGTACATGTTGCTAATACATACTGTACCTTAAACACAGAAATGTTGCACGAGTTTAAACACTGACATTAAATGTAAGTTGGCTGACAATATAAGCTGTCAGCTTCATATTTACCCTCCTATTCCATGTTTGCATTGCCTTTCTGCTGCCAGTGTTTGCCAAAGCGTAGGAGGAGTACCTGAAGCTAGCTTACACTGTCAATCAAAACTTTTTCACACAAGTTTTTTTTAACCATTATAGATAACAACTCAAGCACAGTCTCTGATTATAACTACTATGTCACTGGGATTGGCATATTTCTTGGTCATTGTAGTTAGACATCTACACTGCACAACGTACAATGTATAGTTCCAAGACAAATAAATCCAGTTGGTTGTTACTTCTAAGGGTTCTTAATGTAAAAATATTAGCACTGAATGTGGTTGTGGTTTTTATACATAAAACTCAGAGGAAACCAGTGATGCGACTGGCTAACTAGATAGAGGATAAACAGTTTGATACAATGTGTTTTCACAGATTGGCTTTTAAATTTAAGCATTTTTTTTAACCACTGAAGAACTGATAAAAAATGGTCAAAAATCCCTCCAAAATATCACATTAAAACACCAAGACCCTGAGGAACACCAAGAAAAATCCATGCTATGATTTGGTATCTAAAACTTTTGACATTTTCCGTAAGACAAGGCATTTTTCAGCGGCTGGATGGTGTGCACTCCTGCTCTGGAAACTGCTAGGAAACCCCCTTCTTGCCACTACCTATGTAAGCAATACATCCCATGAATGCCATCAGTCTGTAGTTTGTGGTTGTTAAGTTTCATGAGGCTGCGATTATCCTCAAGGTCACAGTAGATCATTTCATACAGTCTGACAGTCTGATGTTTGTTTCAAAAAATGTCTGTGAAGATTGTCAGTCATCCAGGTCATGGTAATCGTAAGTGCTATATTGAAGGCAACTGGACTTGCTTGAAGACGTTTCGCCTCTCATCCAAAAGGGTTCTTCAGTTCTTCAGAATGATTGCCTCTTGGATGAGAGGCGAAACGTCTTCAAGAAACTCAAGCAAGTCCAGTTGCCTACAATATAGCACTTACACTTCAAAAAATGGTTTCACTACAATGAAATGCCCCCTACTATGGGGGCCAAGATCCTCACACATGGATAAAATTGTGGATCCACAAGAGTCTCAGCTTTCCAGCTGTATCCAATTCATGCAATTCCATGTCTGTTTAGGGACCCAGTATGCAGATACAACAGTTGATAATAAAAACTGCATGATTTTTGCCCCAAACTATATGGGACTAACATAAAGTGGGCATATCTGTAACGGGGAGAGTCATGGGAACCGACAGAATCCATTGTTATTACAATATCTCAAGGGGAGTGTTCAAGGGACCCCTTTGAAAATGGCCATGCCAGTTTTTCACTCGCCAAAAATAAGCTTAACTTTGGAGAATTACTTAACCCCTTTCCTGACAAGTGCGCATCACATAGTTGGTATCAACGTTTTCCTTCGGTCTCTGGTTTCATATACCTTCACTCAGCTCGCTACAGCCTCTGATAAACAGTAATGTTGTCCAAGCTACACCAGCATCCCTGTGGAGTGGAAAAGGTTTGTTACCACACCCTCTGATTTATGTTCCACTTCACTCAACTCTTTTGCACTTTGTAACGTTGTGCATACCTAAACCAGAAATAGCAGGTGTAAAACACCCACAGTCTGTCGTTACGCTTGTGAAACTAAAAATAGGTCTGCCTTGAAACCTATCGGGAAAATTAAAATTACATTTTACTGTAGTAATATGGTACAATAACCTTCTCTAAAAGACTGGCTGTCACCAACTCTCCCTGTAGTTCTCATTTTGCTCCAAACTGCATATCAACCACTTAATCACAGTAATTATTTTAACCTTTAAAACACCGTGACAGACAACAGTCAATCAGAGAATCTTAAATCAGCAGCTGCAGGTATGACATGGATTACTGCCTACATTCCATTAACAATCTGAAGACTCCTTGACTCAGCTGTGCTCACTCGTATCCATCATGACAATCTGCAGTGTGCAGTGAATCACTGCAGCACTGACTACAGTACTGACTGCTGTGCTCTAAATGTTGAACATGAGTCACTATTGTACTGTAGGAGGAAACTAGGCTGCTCAGGGCACCTGCTCCGTGAACACAAATCCATACCATATTGGCTGAGAGATACTTCGCAGGTGGTTGAGTTTGGTTTTCAAAAATATTATTATGTAACAAGATTCCTGCTGCGGCCAAAGTGTTAATCACTCAACCCGACCGTTGCTAAGATGACCGTGCACTCTGACTTTTCTAGTGAATGCACTCACAGAAGGACTGCACATCTACAGGTAATATGTTAATAAAATTTAACAAAGTAATTTACATATTATTAAGTGTCATGTTCACCTGCTACTGTTCACTGGGTGACATTCTGATTAGTAACTACTTTCATTATTTCCTAAAAGTGGTGAGTGTAAAAACATGTTTCCAGATTTCTAAGGACACATCTGATTCATGGCGACAGACTGAGATGGCAGGTATAAATATCACAGGTGTGTGTCACTTGCAAATAACATAATAACATAATAATAGTAACTTATGAATGAAAATAATGACTGACTCAGACATAATGCGAAAAAACTCCAGGCTTTTAAATATACAGTATAGCCAGATTTTGATTAGTGACCCTTTGCCGAGTCCTGCCCCTTGAACACAGACTGGCCAATCATAGTGTAGCATCACCCAGCTTCGACCAGGGTCTGACAGCTACACAGCTGTGCTGCATAGACTCTCAAATCATTTCAGACTTTTTTCATTTTCAAGCTGATTGAAAGGATTTTGAGCTAGTCATGGTTAAACACTGTGTCTGGTGGACGTGTAATAATGATACTCATTACCCAAAAAAGTTGAAAGGAGATATACATCTCTTCCCTGTTCCAAAACCATGATCAAACCCTGAAAAGTGTAGGCTTGGCTAGCTAGCTACTGAGAGTGTAGCTACTGAGAGTGTATACACATGCTGCTTTCTAAGGGTTTTAACACTGAATAAATATCTACGCTGCTTCACAGGAACAGTGCAGAGAAGCAGGGAAACATTGAGGATATTCAACCAGCTGTGTGTCATCACCATGTGTGCAGATTAACGGTGTTTGGCTTCCCCTAGAGCTCCCCGTTTGTCTATCAGCAGAGGTCCAGGCCGGTAGTACAGGGGGAGGCCAAACAATGTTCATCTACGATGACACACAGCTGGCTGAATATCAGCAAAGTTTACTTTTCATTTCACTGACTTCTGCCTCCATTGTCAGGTGATGTGGTGGCTTACTTTTACACTTGTCTTTTTGACCTGTTTTTGCTGCAGATTTGACATCCTGGATATATCCTTCAAACGTATATTAACGTCTGCTTCTTTCTTACGTTGTTTCTTTGTTTTTCCCCCCACAATTTTACAATATTTCTTCAGGAATTGCAGTTTGACAGTGTGAGCTCCATGCTACTCCAACAGCCTGACAGACCATATCAAAGGCGCAGGGCTTAGCAAAGCCAGTGCAAGGAGAACCTTTATGTTTTCGTATCTCTGAAGCAAGGTTCTCAGTATCTTAGAGATGTTTCTTTCATCACAGATGCCCTCTGTTCTGCACACTTGCATATGTGAAGGTTAAACAGACCAAAATTCCACAAATAGATAAATATATCAGCGGTGAGACAGTGTGCAGGACTGTCGTTAATATAAATGTATGGACTGAAAAAAAATCTCTGACGTTGAGGATGTCACATGACCTGCATTTTCAAATTTCACCACTGAAGAGTGCCGCTTCTTGGGGTTTGGAGTAAAGAGAGCAACAGAGAGAGTGAAGTCTTTTGAACAGAGAGAAGTGTGTGCAGGGTTTGTTGTGAAATAGCTACAGGAAGTCTTGTATGATAGATACTGGCTTTATCTTGGCGCATGCTATTTAGGTTTTAAGTGAGGTTAGAAGTCAGTGGATTAATTTCACACAGAGAATACAATTGGTAGTGAGCTGAAAACACTTAGCGCAGTAAACCTAAAACCTCTGGCAAACATAATTAAGCTTAGCAGTGTTCTTCCCTGCACTGTGGCTATGTGGGTGTCATCATATAGGCTTTCAACAGCAGCTACTGCGAGTACAAGACTGTGTTGAAAGACTTATTACTCATAACTTGTATTTGAGAGAACACTGAGAAAAAAAGGATAACCAAAACGGTATCAGACATTCAGTTTGAACAATGAGCAATGTTTGAGCAATGTTGGAGACAAGGTAAAATTAAAATCAAACTAAATGATCCACATGTAGTGTATTCAGAGGATGATGCAGTGGGTGAGACAAAGAGAGAAGGAAACAGACAGATTAAATTTCAAATTACTCCCAGAATATTGGTCTTTTCCTGTGGATTTAGTGCTTAAATGGAAGCAGTATGTTAAGGGGTTTGGCAAGAGGATGGTAAAAAGTTCCTCACGTGCTGCTGACATGAAACACCCTGTCTAGACACACGATCGGCCTCCATTTTTTAATCCTGCTCAAGAGCACAGCATGTTGCACACTGACACAGAGGGGCGACCTCTTTGCTGTTTAATAATAAACACTGCTAACAGCACATAACCTGACACGTTGGAATGAACTGCTGCTGTTGCTGCTTCGGACTTTGCATGCAGAGTTTATTTTCCAAACCAGAGAAAAGGCCTGTACATGTGTGTATCCTCACCATATTAGTGATCTCTGGGTAAGCAGATTCCACCAGCACCCCTCTGTTGGTAGAAACATAGTCCACAAGCTCATTGAGCGTGGCCCTCTTGATCTCCTTGCTCTTCAGGTCTGTCACAGAGTCCAGGAAGTCGAAGAGCATGCAGCACTGCTGGAGTTTCTGGGTGAACAGCTCCTGCTGTTCTGTGGAGGGGGCATCTGGAATCACACAAAAGAAAGGAAATACACTAACTCATTGTGTAACTAGAACGTCAGGAAACATCAGGTTGCTTGTGTTGTTAATTTCCTCTGTATTTCGGATCATGTTCATTTGTTTATAAGCTTTTATTAGTGAGTTTTAACGAGACAAAGTGTCGCAATTCAGAGTCACTGCTGGCTGCAAGTGCACTGCTACATGTAGCTACATGCCAAAGACAGGGAAACATGTAATCTGGTGGCCAATGCTGTTAATTTCTTCCCAACTTCAGATCATATTCCTGCTGGAACATGTCTGGTTGTGTTTAGTTAGATCTAGATTCATAGTCAGAATACTTTATTGATCCCTGGGGGGGAAATTAAAAGCTTTTATTGGTGATTTTGAACAGGAGAAAGTGGGGCAATATACAGTCATTCTCCAGCAGCAAGTACACTGCTACATGTAGCTACATGCTAATGCCAGGGAAACATGTACTCTTTGTCTCAGATGTTAATTTCTCCCCAGTTTTGAATCATATTACTGTTGGAACATGTCCGGTTGTGAAGATTTTGGTTTAGAAGCTTGACAGAAAGTGCAGCAACTACATGACGTGCCCACCATACCTACACGACTGTCTATGATCAGCCCCTTGGTCCAGCAGTGGAAGCCCTGAGCAAGATGCTAAGTTAGCATTAAGCTAACTATTAAGTGTTTGGTTAAAAGAGAAGCAGTTAAGGTAAGGGTTAAGCTTGGGGTTACACCCTATTACGTATAAAGGAGAATCATGCCTTCATGTATGATGAATTATGATGTGGATTACTGATACACTCTGCCTCATATTTATTTACCATACTGTCGCATTGTAGCAGGCTTCAAACAACTTTCACATTGGTGGTTGTCTTGTACTGTTGGGCAAGGTTTGTAGGGGGGCTACAAACGAAATTGGCTGCAGCTATACGCATCTCCCCTGATGCGGAAAACCCACACGCTGACCTAACAGAGCAGACTGAGCTTTTTCGGAAGGGGGGTTTAAAGAGACAGGCAGTAAAACAAAGTGTTTCAGAGGGTGAATACAGATGTTACAAGAAAAAACAGTTTTTTGAACATTTAAGAATGTTCACATGTTCCGATAGAAACAAAAAAAAATACAAGTATGAACCTGAAAAAGAGCATAATATGTCCCCTTTAACATTCACAACTAATTAAAACCCTCAATGAGCATAACTAAAGACACACTGGCACCAAACACATCAGCTGTATATCCTAAATTGTGGGGATTTTTTTGCACACGGTTACATATTTGAACTAGACTTCCGGACAAACAGACACAATACAGCGTTGTGTTTTGCCACACAAAGGCAGCCCAGTCATTTTCGGCTTTGATTGTAAAGCCTTTTATGGATTAGACTGTAAGAGCGTTCAGGATTATTAGAGCTGTCAAACTTGACCCCAGCTGAGCTATAAACAGCATTTGGCAGCCGTCCAGATATGCAGCAACACACTGTACAGTGATGTTCTATTCCAACACAGCAGCGGCAGCTCGTCGCTGCACACACAGGCCTCTCTCTGTAACTGTGGCAGAGGGACGTCGTTAAGTAAACGGACGCCGCAGGTTTGATTTAAAACACCTCAAGAACCAGAGACCCCAAAGGTCCTAGGGTTACGGTGATATAGATGCCATCCATGACACTTGTTGACACAGAGGTGCTAATTAATGTCTTCATTAAAATGTATGTCTAAATTGCACATCGTAAATCATTACAGTGACAATAGTACACTTTGCACTTTTATTGATCATTTTAGTTATTTGTTACAGCTCCTCATTAGTACTGTTTCCCATCTTTATCAGAACTTGAGTCACATGGATGTGATGCAGGGCTGAGGTCCTGTGTAAAAACAGTACAACACCAGTACTAGGGCTGGACGATTATGGCAAAAATAATAATCACGATTATTTTGATTGATATTGAAATCACGATAAGTTGGTCGTGTTGCCTTGGGGGGCAGACACGACAGCGTGACAAACTTTGCAAACAATTTCCTTTTGCTCGACGTCCATCAACTTGAAGCCAAAATGTTTCCAGATGACTGAAGTTGTCCTACCTTTCTTCTCAACCAAAGGCTGCCTTTCTGCCATGTTCTCAATCGCTCGCTCCACATATTATTGATCCACACACGTCACACGCTTGCTGCTGCTGCACGTAACACAGGTGCATTCATACAGCCCTAACCAGTACCCTTAAAGTGATACAGATGCCAATACAGCACTTCATTCGATAACTGTTGTGAGTGACGTGTAGTAAAGCCATACATTTTTAAACATCACACTAAACTGACAACTCCATCGCACACGCTCGACTTCACCACACCATCTGAGTGTGAGCTCAGCGCCAGGGACAGTTGTGAGAGTCCGTCTGTTCGTGCACACACAGTGGTAGAGCTAACTGTTAGCATTACATGTCTGACATTACCTAACAGGTATTAACAGGTCTAAAAACAGAATCTAGCCATTTCGTGTCGGATGTTAATGAGCAGACATTGAATGACTCCAGAGACAGCAGCAACAGAAAGTTTGTTAATCCGGCGGGAAGTTGGGACGGTCCATGATCGGACTACAGGTGCAAAAAGGTTTAAATACAGGTATCTTTTGACTTAAGAGGTGTCAAACTACTTGGTATTGGGTTAATTTGGTTGAAACCATAAAGGTATTGAGACCGATACCCAACCCTAATGTGACAAGAAGTAACTTTCAGTGAAGCAGTTCTCAATATACTTACAATAGCTAGTGACACTCAAATGTAAAAGTATTGATATGCATTACTGTCCTGAAACACAATACCACTAAAAGAGTTAGTTGATTAATTGATTTGCTGATCGCCAGAAAAATAAAAAGGCAAATATTTTTTAAGTAAAAATGCCAAACATCAACGTTGGTTGAGGCTTCTCAACTATGCAAACCTGCCAATTTTTGTTGTTGTTGTTTATGAGAATATTCTGGACATGAGTTAGTTAAGAGTTTTAAACTGTTGGTTGGGGGAAAAAACAATTTAAATATGTTGCTTTTTGCTCTTGTGATGGTCCCTTTTTACTATTTTCTGATATTTTCTTTAGAGTAAATGGCCCATTAAAAGATAAGATTTGTTTGCTGCAGCCGTTAACACACTTGTACATTCACACTCAAGTGCTACAAAGTGTATTATGTATTTATTTATTTATAGTGTATTTCGAGGTGAGAAGTGTCACAGCGCAGATTTCCTTATTGAGTGACATTATGCAATTGAAAAGGCATTACCCATGAAATGGAGTGGCATGGGAACAACACACAGTCGGGCCCAGCCATGATATTCACACTGACTCTCACACCTAGTGAAAATGTTCCAGTGGTGTTGACAGCTGACGAAGTACTTACGCAAGTGAGCTCCACAGGTCAGACCACTGGCTGCTGCTCTGACTGAACTCAATATCTGAGTGTAACTACAACCCAGCTGACTTGTTAACACACTACTTTGTGTTAATGCCAAATTTCCAAAGTATCGAATCTCAAAGGATTCCACATCCAAAGAGCAGACTGAATACTGAAGTGGAACCAGAAAGGAAAGACGACCACGATGCCCCTGCGGCCTGATTGTACTGTTATTAACATGACACATGGGTGGCTCACATTTCTTCCCACTTGTGTAACGCTGGCTGTCAACACTTAGGGAAGGCATGCTGGATTCGAACCTTCAGTGTTTTCTAGGTGCACGTCAGTGATATGTTTAAGCCTCTGTCACTGAGACTGCACCTTAAAGGAAAAGTTTGACATTTAGAGAAATGTGCTTAATGCTTTTGCCAGGAGCTAGATGAGAAGATCAGTAACAGACTCATGTTTTGTACTGTGAACACGAAACTACGTACAGGAGATGGTCAGCTTTGGGGATGTTCCTAATGATTTATTTCCCCGACTTTTAAATGGAATTTTAAACTTACAGTAGTCGAGTAGTCTAAAAGTAAGAAAACACTCAGAAAATTGCCAAAACTGAGCACAATTTAATCAATGAGGTTAATAAACGTTGTCAGAAAAATCTGTGTACGTTATAACAGCCATTTGAATTAGTTTACCACATTCTTAAATAACCAAAACAAATTTCAAGTGCCGCTGAAATGCCTGGTGCTATGCACTGTGCGTTATGAATATTGCACATAAACCTACAAAACATGACATCAACTCACTAAATAAAAGATACTTAAATGTATTTACTGTGTATTTAATGTCCCGATTAATTCATTCAAACACACACACATCCAGGCTTCTCAGGATCTCCCATATGCCCAAAAGCACCTCTCTCATTCAGCCTAGCAAGAAGACATCCAGCAAACATGAGTGTGTAAGGCTTGGGTATACTTTCTGTGTTAAATGTCTGCATACAGCTGCTGACTTGTACTGGTCGCGCACACATAGCTACATCAACAAGAGAGCGCACATGTGTTTGTGCATGTATATGAGAAAGAGAGGAAGAGGTTGATGATCCCAACTCATCCCGTTTTTCCTCTAGGTATCGTAATAAGTTTAACCAGCTAGTATTTCTAGTGACAACTGGTGAAGGTAGCAACGTTTAATCGACTAGTCGACTAACCGCGTATGTACCCTGTTAGCTTAGCGCAAACACTGGAAACAGTGGGAAACAGCTCGCCTAACAACACCTCTAAACCTCACTAATCAACACACTGTTTCTCATGTGTTTTATCTGTACCAAAACCTTGGTGTAAAAATGACATATTGTGGTTTAATGGGGAGTTGTGTACTAGACTATGTCTTGGCCAAGCGCAATCTCTTTCTGGAGTCTCAGCTGGTTGCCTGGCAACCTCACTGTGACCTCAAGACTCGACCAGAACATAACCACAAATAAAACGACAAATTTTAATTTCCAGACTTCTATGTTTGGAAATGTTAAACAGAAAAGACAGAACATGTTAACTGCTGAGCGGTGGACGTGCTGGACACAGATGTGTAAAGAGAACTGGATTCAGTGTTGGAGGCGGA